CTTCGATGGCAGCGGTTTCCTTTTTCAATCCAAATCTGAAGGCTTATTTCTTCCTGATCATGGCGGCTGCAGGCTCCCAGTTTGCTGAATGGGAATCATGGCAGCCAAATCTCCTTAGTCCCACATGCTTAACCAGCCTTTGAACATCTCCAGAGCCTCTGAGGGAAACTGTTGCTGCGGCGACTGTGGTGGCGAGATGAGCTGCTCCGTCCTCAGAGACTGTCCCTGCTAAAGACACTGCTGGCAGTCTTGCCTTTAACATCACCTAACAACCAGTGGATCTCTGCATGGTTCCGCTAGAGCCGTGGGTCTCTGCAGCTCCCCTAGAGCCTCCATGATCCTCTCCTTCTTTGACCAATGCTCTCCTCCTGCCAGGCTATGTGGACCTCCATGTCGTGGTAGCCCAGCTCCAGGATAATATCTAGAACCAGAACCTCCTCTCTGATTGTCTGTCGGGTTCTTTGGTTCTGTAAAGGACCGGTTTGATCCAGTCAGGTGTTTTCTGTTTCCACCTGGTGGTACGGGGGACTCATTAAATGTAATGAAGTCCGTTAGGAACTCCCCAAAATTGTAGATGGCCGCAGACAGGAGGCCTCTGATTGGTCGAGTCTACATCCGCTCTACACTATGCGTATCTCCTGTTTGGTACCTAATGGCAGAAACTCTGGCTGTAGTGCCGTCCACGACGCCTGTCAGACCTCGGACACTATCACAGACACCGTGCAGGATGCTAGTTTGTAGCTCTGTACAACGATCTGTTGGTTTGCACGCAAAGCCAAAACACGCAGCGCCACGGCCAGTCTTTGGGGAACACTCACGGGTGAACTGTGTGTCGTCCGGCGTTGGATGAGGGGTTGCAGACGACGAACAAGCTCGTCAAACTGACACCCACAATCCTAGCTAGTTCCTGATTGTCCCTCTGGTGTAGTGGCGTGGAATAACATAGCACAGACCACGCTTCAAAATTGGGCATAAATCAAAAATATCTGCTTCATACCTGCGCCAAGCTAACTGCGAAGATTAGGCTGAGGCGGGCTCTGGTTCTGCTGGAAGCTTCCAGTTTTTCTGACCTGCTCATCCAAAAGGACTGACTTCTGCAGGTCAGGGACTCGGTGCAATCAGGTGGGCCTCCCAAAGTCACCCACATAGTCAGGCGTTCCTGGCGTCTGGGACATGGATACACATCTCGCTGATTAGGTATGGTGACTGTCGCTGCCCCGCTCTGTGCTGCAGACACTGGTGTGCAACGTGGATATACTGCAGTGCTGACTTTTTATTCTTCAATTCAAATCTATTCAGTTTGTTTCTATAGCGCCAATTCACAACACATCATCTCAGGTCACTTTACAGTTCACGAGATCATCCAGTCAGATTGATTCAAAGTTTTGTAAAGAAAACCAGCTGATTGCATCGACTCATTGACTCTTTAGCAATCCCTCATACTAAGCATGCTTGTAGCGACAGTGGAGAGGAAAAACTCCCTTTGACCAGGAAGAAACCTCCAGCAGAACCAGGCTCAGTGTGAGCGGCCATCTTCTAAACTACTACAGCCAGAAGGCAACCAGAGATCATAAGTTGAGCGTGGATCGGTTCAGACACCTTCAAACCAACCCATGATTTGACTTCCTGCGTATATACCGCCTGTATGGGAAGCTTTAGTCCAACTGTGTTGATGTTAGTTGGAATAGATCTGTCTGCAGGATTCAAACAAACCGACTTGTCTGTAAAATGCTGTAAAGTGATGTTTGTTCTGTTGATGGACGTCTTTCCAGGAACTAATTAGGCTGTTTTAGAAGCAGAAAATAAACTTTTTCAATTGGTAGTGAAGAAGTGAAGGAATTAGATATTGCTGGTTCCTCAGTTTAACAGAACTGATGCGGTCTGAAGGGCCAAGGAGCTGCAGACGGGGTGGGGGGTCTTTGCAGGTAAGGGCTGCACAACATATCTGGGTTAGTTTATTTGTTAGAAACAGGAACTGACCTGCGAACCCTCTCATCAGCTTCCCGTTCAGCCTCCTGGCTGCGCTGAAGCTCTGCCGCCGTGCTCTCCTTCTCTCTGGACAGCTGCTGCAGTTGGACCACCAGCGTCTGGACCTGAGAGGACAAGTCCTTCTGATCTGCAGAGACGTCAGCTGGAAGGGAATGCTGGGAGGACGTGATGCCGGCCTGAGAGCTGATAGAGGAGATGGTGGAGGATTAGACTCCTGGTTAAAATAATGTTCACTTAACTCCATTTGTTAAAATGCGCTGAGTCAGCTGGATCCAAACAGGTTGGATTTATTATCACAGCGGCTCAAGAATGTTTCCAAATTCAGTGTGAAAACACTTTTTCATTTTACAAACAAAAACTTCTGTGTTTTTAAGGATTTGTAGATTGTTCTAACTCCCACCTTTACTCTGGGAGGAACAGTTTCCATTCAAACCTGATCATTAACGAGCTATTTTTGATTTGCTGTGGCACCATTTTACTCGGTAAATATATTTCTAGAGGTGCTATTGACGTGACCTTTTCACCAGATGTTGGTAACAATCCATGCAATCCACACATACAAAGAAATCAAACCACAGATGTCCAGAAATGGAGTTATGTGTAATAACTTGGATTGAAAAAGGCATGGAAATCAGCAGCCCGAAATCTGTCAGGAATTAGAAAGCAATCCTGCCCCTTATCAGAGCAGATTAATATCCGCTGTTCCAGGCACACATTATGGTCTATAAAAAGGTGTCTCTGATATCACTAAAGAAACATATCACGATGTTTCTGAACATCAATGGGTTGGTTTCTTTGTCTGTGTGGATTTCATGGGTTATTACCAACATCTGACTGTTTAATGCTACATTCAGACCACAGGGGCTGGAAGCAGCAAAAACGCTTCTGCTGCTTATTTCTCTTTGGGAGCCGCTCGTACCCCTACATACTGGTGGTGCGCTGTCACTGGGAATCCCCAGCAGCAGCTGCCTCAGGCCCGGTCACCTCTTCAGGTTTTCCGCTACTGTTCCTGGCGGCTGGAAGTAGATGTTAGCATTTTTCACATACGTAAGCCAAACTGCAGGCACCAGGATAATAAAAGCAAACATATTCTGCTGGCAGGTTTCAAGTTTATTTAGGCGTTAATAAAGTATTTCAGGGAGTGATCATAGCACTCTGCATTAGCAGTGCTGTGTCTGTGTCCCTGCCAGCTCCCAGATCAGCCTCTCTGATTAGTTGATGTGGAGCGTCCAATTCCAGCATCTCCTATTTCTGTAGCATGTCAAAGGCTCAGAAGCTCATGAGCCACGTTAAATGAGGGTAGCCACGTTAAATGAGGGTAGCCACGTTAAATGAGGGTAGCCACGTTAAATGAGGGTAGCCACGTTAAATGAGGGTAGC